TTTTCCTTCCTTCCTCCTCCTCCGTCCTCCTCCTCCTCCGTCCTCCTCCTCCTCCTCCTCCTCCTCCTCCTCCTCCTCCTCCTCCTCCTCCTCCTACCATGATTCATCTTTTTCTTCTCCTTCTTCTTCTACTGGTGCTATTCTCTTCCACCTCCTCCTCCTCCTCCTCTTTCATTGTCTTCCTCACTCTCCGTCAGTTGCTCAAGCATCGCTTCTTCCTCCGCTTCCGACCTGACGCCAAGGAGCTCAAACACTTCCTGCACCTCAACGCCCAGCGGTACGAGAGAGTCGACAATGCTTCTGCTGCTGCTGCTGCTGCTGCTGCTCCTTCTGACTTCATTCATCAGAATTTCTATTTCATCCTGAATATTCTTTGAATGATATTCATGCAACAATCGATCACACATGATAAGACTGGAGGGGAGCAGGGAGAGGAGGGATAGCGAGGGTGAGAGGAAGGAGGACGGATAGGAGGAGCAGGAATGGACAAGGTTTGAGTTTAGTTTGTCTCCTAATTTACAGTTGAGAGGTTAGTCAGTGAGAGAGGAGGAGGAGCGACGAGTATCTAGAACGAGAGAGGCTACAGCACATGTCAGCTCCTTCCCCAGCTCTCCTCCTCCTCCTCTTACCGCGTTATCCTCAAACAGTTTGTCGATTTGCTTCGAAGTCATCCCCACAACGGTTTCCAGCTACAGGGAAGCTGTCAGAACAATCTCGACGAGCAAATGCAGGTGGTGGTGGTAGTGGAGGAGGAGGAGGAGGAGGAGGAGGGAGGGAGGGAGGGAGCAGAGCAGAGCAGAGCAGAGCAGAGCAGAGCAGAGCAGAGCAGAGGAGGGTGTTACTTGGAAGCTTGTAAAATCTTTCGAGGGCTGTAAGCAAACATTTCTTCTCCTCTTCAAGGTTGCGCAAGATAGCCGCAGCATGCTTGGAGTCATACACCATTTCGTCCACGACTTCCTGCACAGGCCGTGAGTGAGGAAAGGAAAGTCAGGAAGAGGCAGAGGCAGAGGGCGGAGGGAGCGAGGGGAGGGGGGGGGGGGGG